CTTTTTCTTTACAGAAGTCAGCTGCAAAGAGCTATCAAGAGATGTGTCATTTCCTGAAGGAAGAGAGTGGCAGTGGGCACACTGGAGGAGACACAGTAGAAGAAACAGCAAGGTAGGCAGAACAGCGCAGCTCAGTGAATTTGTTTCGCATTGTTGAAAAACAAAAATTATCTTCAGATCATCATTTCTTGGGTATTTTTCCTGACATCTGGTTCAGGACTTTATAGGGGCATGACCTACCTACCATAGTATAAGTCCAAATCCTTATTAAGTAGAACTTAAAACTAAGTAATGTTTTTTCTTCTTGAGCTATCAAAAAATTTCACTCGTGTAGATTTGTGACGACTTGCACGTTCCTTGAAAGACCAATGGTTAGAGCATCCATTGGCATGGATGGCCTACCATAGTTCACGTCCAACTTAAATTGGATGTGAACTATTGAAGTTCATGGTTGCTCTCACCAATGATCTCAAGGGACGACATAAATCTACAGAATTTAAATTTGTTGATATGAGTTCATTGTTGAAGAAAAAAAGGTTCTTACATTGTAAACTTAGCTTATCTGCACTAGTTTGGCCAGGAGGTTTTTAGACTTCCCTGCATGGTCACTGACAGGTGGTTATCTCGTCAAATCAGCCCGCATTGACTTTACACACCGGACTTAGGGGGGTGCTTTCAAAGGGAGGGAACATGTATATACGTACTCTAAATAACACTGAGTGGGGGGGGGGCCTTTGAAAAAAGACATATTATCTCTGATACATTTTCTTCCACCTAGTTTCATCATGGTTGGACTGTCGAACATCATGGAAGCTGCCTTTAGCACTTTAACGTCAGTCGTCAATGAAACTACTCTAGTGACATCTCAGGATGACGATGCTGAGAAAGCTATTTCAGATGTAAGTGATTTATGATTTCAAGCTAATTTTAAGTTTGATTCTAGAAATTAAATTGCTTTTCCAGAGGAACATGCATGGTTAAAGAAATTCTTAAAGCTTGTTCATATATGTATTATATAACCACAGCATTTTTGTGCGCTTACTCGAGCTTACCCAACTAGTACTTCACGTTTTTGGATTTCGTACACTAGATAAGATATGAGCTATTTGAAGCAGAAAAATTTAGAAACAAAACTAACAACAAAAAAACCTTTAAAACAATACATTAACACAATGCACAACTCTCATCTTGGCATATTCAATTTCAATTTGTTTAATTCAATTTCAGCAACACTTTAAAAATACATATATATATATATGGGTGTAAAAAAATTTACAGTATGATACATTACAAATTATAACAAAATTAAAAACAACCCATAACACATTATAATGGGTAATTAGGATGGCTATACAAAAAACAAGTGGGTTTTTTGGCCAACCAAACAAATCATAAATGAAGTGTATTACAACACGTGTTGGACACGATTGTAATTCACAAAAAGAATTGGGTGTACATGTAAATATAACATTACTATACACACAAAAAGATATCTACACAGAGGCTACAGAGGATACAAATTACAGTATATATAAACAGTGTATTAAAAACAAATATGACTAAAACTTATTCAGATGTTCATAGAAATTTCTTCAATTTTCTTGTACATGTGATTAACGAATTGATTGATTGTTTTTCAGTTGGGAGATTATTCCAGACAACTGGAGCATGATGTTAAACATTTTTTAATGAGAATAATACATAATTTTTCTCAGGTGATATTTATCTCTACTTCTTGTGTTAGATACATATACTGATGAATTAAATGTTAGCATTATTGAAATAGACTCATGTACAAAATTTTGGTCCCGTGAAGAGCACTCAATATTTTGAGGAGGCGCGATAGCTCAGTCGGTAGAGCAGTGGTCTCGTAATCCGGTGACCCGGGTTCGAAACCAAGGCGATGCCCTAGTTCCCTTTGGTAAGGCATTATTCCTCATTACCAGGTCCCTCAGAGAGGACCTAAAGCTGTTGGTCCTCTGGTTGCTTACTAACAAACATTTATGCTTTCTTAGCAGTCAGGTAAACCACCACTACTACTACAACCAATCAAAAAACAATAAATTTATTGATGAAGGATATAAAAGATGGTATGGTTGAAGAGTAAGGGTAACAGGGCGTTGTGGCGTGTGCCTGTAATCCAGCTACAATGGAAGTTACAAACTGATTCAGCCGAGGACACAGGTTCATCACATCTTTCCGATGGTGATGTTAAAGAGAGGGTTCATTGATTTAAAAAACTAACTTTAATGTCATTATTGCTGGTGACACTTTGATTGGCCAAGGTTATCAAAAGCCAATGCTTGGAAACATTTGAAGTAATGATTATTAACATTTACAAAACGCTTAGATGCAGCCCCGACATAGCACCTGAAAAGGCTCCCCAGTCGCTGCTGAGATATGACGTCACATGTTGAACATGATGTGCACAAGCAGACGATGTCCCATGACATCTCACACAATATTAGTGCCTGTTTTGTCATCTTCTCTTCAGTTATTTCTCTTACTTTAACACCCTCAGGCGAAATGTTTAATCTATTATCTCACTCTAAACCCAGTGCATGGTATTATTTTGATGAAAAATGCAAGGATAAAAAAAAAAAAGGGAATCCGTTGCTTGTAAACAAAATAAGACGCCATTGTATTTTCAGCTGCATACACTGCGGCATGTTCGGCGTTTCAAGAGGGAACAAATGAGGTTCATGCTATCATTCCGGAGGTTTTTTAATTTGAAAGTGTGGTTTCTTTGATTGTTCATTTACCCCTATCCTGTTTATTTACAAACAAAAGAATTTACTTATAAGAATGGGGGTCATATCCCTTTTTGAATGGTGTAAAATTCCATCACATTTATATACACTAAACTCATTATAATTTGAGAAATGAAAGCATTGCAATTATGTTCATTCTTTATGGGATGTCGTCTGCTTGCGCAGGGTTGGTTCATATTGTGACGGCATTAAAACATCGTTATTTTTCCGGTGAATCTCTCGCATATCCCAGATGCTATGGAGGTTGTTTTATTTGTATTTATATAAATCACCCGATATGTAGTTGACCTAAAACTTGCATGATGGCCATCTGTTAGCTTAACAGTTTCTAGTAATACGCTATTTGCCATATTTGAGATTTTCTATGAACCCGCACTTTAAAGGTCGGTCTCCAGACGTAAATAATAATGTCTGATTGATACACATCTGTAAAAACCGAATTACACACATACACAAGTTCCAGCTGGGTATAGTCTTATACATGGGTTATTAGATCAGATCAAAATAGAGTTTAAACATGCAACCACACAAGTTCCAGTTAAAGAGATATGTACTTCTGGTTGTAATAATGAGTTCACAAGGAAAAATCACATGAATGTACTGTATTAACTACTAACTGTTGTATCACGTACTTAAACCTTTGGTATGTAGAAGGAATTAAAAGATGGATTGGTATTTTTCACACATTTTTCCACACTTCCACTTAGTAATAATTTCAAAAATAATATTAATTGGAGCAACAACATGTTTTGCCCATGGGTCAGGACTGCTTGTTTGAATCGGATAAATCTGAATAAATTTCCTTTTCATTATTTACCCATTATATCAGCTTTTATTGATGAAAAAAAAAACAGTTGGATTGTATCTTGTGTAATTTATTTGAATTTTGTGTTAATTTATCTTATATCCTGTTCATATATCAAACACACTGCTCTATCCAGGCATGTTACTGCTTAATTTAGAAAATATAATATTTTCAGGAGGGTAATATACATTCAAAATGAAAATAAAACCACTGTGTAATTTTTAAGAGATTAAATAAGAAATGGTCTCAGTTGGAACATATATGTGATTTAAGGAAACATCAACAGAAGCATATTTTCATAAAATACAGTTTTAAAAATATATCTAGTCAGTTATGTTGTCATCTCCTGAAAATGTCTAACAGCCTGTACTTTGATGACAGCTAGACTTGATAGTTGTAGACCAAGGACCTGTTTCACAAAGCCTTTTTTCGATGACAACTGACAAATATCAGTGACAAATCTGCTGATAACCAATCAGAAGCAAGGATTTCAGTAGCTTATAACAAAATTTGTCATTTGCCACTGGAGACAGGTTTTGTGAAACACTTCCCAGTAATGTACCGGTATAACAAAACTATAAATTATGAATATCTCTGATACAATTGCTCTCAATGACCCGATGCTTTAATTGAAGATCATCAAATGTGAAACAAAGTGTGTTTTATGCTCAGAAATGCTTTATCACACGAGAGGTGAGTTAAACCATTGAATACTATACCTGTGTATAGTTAGTCTAATTGAAAGCTTGAGATAATTCTATGCAAAATCAAACGGTATCCAATGGGGTAAATAGTCCATCACTAAGAGGTTTTAACAGAGACTCATAGATTTGGATCACAGAGTTTTAAATAGTTGACTTGTACTTCTGCTTCTGCTTGTAGATCAATCAAACTTCATCACTAGATATAGTTGTGGTATGCAGTTGGTGGTAGCAGGGAGCTCATGATGGGCCTCCTACAAGAGTCTAAATATTGAATTTTGGATTTTAATTCGGCTTTGAACAGAGTAGACAGATGTAGATTTTCTAAATTCAGTGGGAAGTAGGTTCTATTCTGTGAATGTTCTGGATAGAAACTGGTACTTATACAGTTTAACCTCTCACAGTGGCCACCTCTATATGAAGGCCACCTGTTTATAGTGTTGAATAACCTGTCTACAGAGGCCACTTTTTGTTTTTCCCCTTGGGCGGCCAATAATAGACAGGTTTGATTGTACTTATCTTAAGACTCGATCGTCTCTAGCTAGCTGTCCACTGTTTCATCCGCAGACAAGAAATGTCAGCATGGCTACCCTGCAAGCCCTGGAAGAGTTACAGACAGCTGTCTTGCAGAACAAGGTCCCTGGCGAAGAGAGCACAGTGATCAGAACAGAGGCTGTATCCCTGATCCTCCAGAGGCAAGAGCGGTGGGAGGTAGCATCTAAGGTCAGCGACAGCAAGGCAGGAGCTACTTCCTTCCAGCTTCCAAGCAATGTACTGGACGGCGGAACAGAATCCAGCTTTGATGACATCGTAGACAGCCATGTGAGTGCTTTAATGATAGAAATAACAGAAAAAAAGACAAAATTGGTTATTGATAGACTCAGGGATGCCAGTTAGAATCGATCAGAGGTCCTGAAAATCACCCAGAATGAGCTATTGTGTACACAAAAAAACCTCAACTATGGCCTGAAAATAAATTGCGAGGGCCTGAATTCATTATTATATGATTTTGTAAGGCTCTCACTAACTGATATCAAAAGTAGACCAGTTACTGATAGACTAATTTATTATATGATTTGAAAATGCCCTGACTGATTTCAAAAGTAGGCCATTGAATGGTTCAGTGAAAGAAAAGCAAGACAAATGGCAATATTGATAATTATGAAATAGGTGCTTTAAAGTCCTGAATTATGTTTTCTGGTTGTCCATCCCTATGTCCCGCTCTCATGATCACATTATCTCAAGAACTGATTGATGGATCACTATCAGACTTGGGTCATGTATGTATCTTGCAGAGCCAATAAGCTGGTTAGATTTTGGGGACACAAGGTCAAAGTTCCAACGGTCATGTAGAAAAATAGCTTGTATTTACGGTATTTTGAGAACCTGTAAATGGATTACAATCAAACTTGGATTTTTTTAATTGCTTCTGTTTTGGTTTGATGGATATCAGATTGTTTGGTTGATGGTGGATGCATCATTTTTTACTGCGTTAAGTCAAACATCCATCTACCGGTAGTTTAAATTTTAAATTGTTTAAAGTTCAACAATTTTTTTGTCTTCATTTTTTTTCTTCTTATTTTCTTTGATGCATGATATAAAACAAATATACCATGCCTTGTTTTCGAGGTACTGGTTTAAACTATAGGTCTCTGTGACTCAAATAGTATTATATACCGCATGTCTAGATTCTAGGCCTCTGATTGGTCAAATTTGCGGGCATGAAAAATAGTAAAAAATATTGACCGGGCATAGAATTATGTCTTTGTACGCGCGCGCATAGCTATGGCAATTTAGATATGCTTGGGCGCGGTCAGCACCAGTGAGCACCATATCATACATGTACACCGAACGAAATTTTGAAAGAGCAATCAATGAGAATTATGTTACGGTGCCGTATTTCATCTGTCTTTGAAATTAATTTCTGAGCTCAAGAAGGATCATGGATGCGGTATATAAAACAAATGTTGACTGCTTCTTTTTCGTGTCATGGTTTAAAACCATGAATAGCACACTTGTGAGCTCACCTCGGGCCATAGTTTTCACCGTGCCCCTAAAAGCAGTCAACATTTGTATACTATTTGCTCCGAAGCAAATTGTACTATATTAGTCACCTTTTGCGCATAGTTTTAAACAGAACCTCTCAAGACAGTGTATATTTACTATCTGAGATCCAAATGACATGATTACTTGTATGCGATGCACAATGTTTGAAGGTGAATAACACTAACGTTAACCTGCGTAGAAATGTACAGCAATCATGCCAATGTCTTACAAGCACATGCAAGTCATATGAAATTCAAATGCAAGAAAACCCCTTGGGAACAGATGAAGGAAAAGACAAGATCAGGTATTTGACCGGCTTACTCGATAGCTACTGTGGTGTGTTGCTCAGGATATCAGATAGGGCTGGCAGATGTTCACGATCATAGTCTAGGATAATGCCTTGTCCTGTGGCCAGCAAGATGGCAAGGTTCCCCTTGCGACTGATTTCCACCTTCTTAACCGACGGTACCCAGTCCAACAAGATGGGGTCTACCAGGGGCTTGGAGCTTTCAAGTTGGTGGATACTAAGCTCAAAACGACCTGGGTCAGAGAGTCGATGGTAGACTATCAAGACTTCACAGGTGATTGGATCTACCAGAAGTTGAGCGGGGTCACCAAGTTTTGTATCGATCTTGCAGGGTTCTGGGATGCCATCTTGTATTGTCGGCCTTTTCATCACCTTCTTTTTCGATGTGATGTAGTAGAGGTGTGATCCGGAGAGAGCTACATTGATGGGATGAAAAAATCCATTCACGCTGAATGTGTGTTCGACAAATCTATCTGTTGGATTGAACATCCAAATTGTGTGTCCATTTGTTTCTGGAATCCAAAGTTGGTGTTCAGAATCCATATGGACGTAGAGATCAACAGCACTTCTTCCTCTTTTGATGGGAAGCTCTTTGCACAGTGTTGCCCGTCCTGTAGTGTCGTACAAGTTCAGACACCATGTTCCACTCTGGATACTAGGTATGACCAAGCTTGAGTCTTCTGTACTCTTGATGTCCACTGGTTTGCCTTCAATTTGCAAGCTTAGTAACCTTTCACTTCCGACTTTTGAGAGTTCCTTAACTACAACAGCATTCTGGTGCTGCTTACTGGTGTAGAGAACATACCAATTTCCGTTTGGCACACAGGTGAAGGAAGTCACAGTTGTATCCTGGCATCCTGCAGTATTGACAATTACTTTTGATGCCAGTTTCCAACTTAAACTTGTCAGAATTACCTCAAACATCTCAGATTTTCCGTTCATTCTCATGTTTTTATTAATCTTAAGAGAAAGACTTCTGGCGACACTTGGCATCAGCTTGGCATCCATCTTATCTCGCATTTCAGAGAGTGAAACCTGCAGACATTCTTGGGCCTTTGCAAACTTCTCAGTGATTTCATACTCGTTGCCTCTGCCTATCATTCCCACGATGTCATCAATGGGCCTCTGATTGTAGTACATCAAGTCTACTTTCTCTTCCAGTTTGCATCCAAGCTGCTGTACCTGGCTTTTGAACTGTTCTCGCTGAGTCTCAATCTCCTGTATCATCCTATCTGAAGCACCCTGTGCCTCACTCTGCAGGTGCCAAATGTGTGATCTTATGGTGGACACGGCTGCTTTCTGGTTTACAGCAAGTACAGACTCTGTCATTTTCTGGTGCTGTCCGATGAGAGTGGTTAAAGAGGCCTTTAACTGATCACTTTTGTCTTTGATATTGACAAAGCGATGCCCTCTGTGGTCAACCACTGTGCAATCCCTGCATATGAGCGCACCATTGCAGGTCTCACAGCAGAAGTTTGTCACCTCAGTGGAGTGCTTCTTACACTTGGCAGTATATTTTCTTGCCGCAGGAAGAGGTTTCTTCTGTTCTTCTGCAGCCGCCATGACCGGCGCAGTCCCCTGTGCAAGGCTCATACCTTGCAGTCGGTCTATAGTAGCCTGCAAGCTGTAATTCCTTGGCAATCCACTCACCCCATCCTTGGGCAGTACTATTTGCCTTCTGCATTCTGGACACTCAATAACATTTCCTGGGATAGGGCTTTGATTAGCATGGCCTTGTAGGCATTTCCCACAGAAGGTGTGGCCACAGGACAAAAGTCTGGCATCCTGAATAATTTCCATGCATATTGAACACTCTGGAAGAAGCAGTGCAATTTCTCCTGCTGTTTGTGACATCATGCAATATAAAATTGTCCTTTTCACTCACAAAATGTGCAGAGATATTCCTTTCCAATATGATTTAATAATATATGTATGTGACGGCCGGCCCACACTACTGTAAAGAATACATTACATAGGGTGATGACCTGTATGTGGAATTCCCCATGAATATTGATCTGCATGGTAGCCGACCACATCTCATAGTAATGAGGTGCTGATGTTGTGTGTACAGCCTGAGAATGTACCAAGAGATGTGCAGATGCACCACTCTCCAGTGGGGAATCCCACGCGCATGTATATTGTAAATGATGGTTGGTGATTCAAACTCCTCAAATCATAATACACAACTACTTGTTCATTATACAAATTGATAGTCATGTATCTCTTGCATGCATAGATGTATGTAGGAAAAATGGACTTGAAATGAATTAAAGTATAGTAATAATAATAAAGAATTCATAATAAATGTTTTACATGCAGATATAAAATAAGAAACAAACATGAATTTTCAAAACTTGAAGATTAATTGTCAGATTGCTGGTTAACTTCTTCAAGAATTTTTTTTTTTAAGGGGTGGAGGGGGGGGGGGGGCAAATCCAATGCCTATTTTCTAACACATTATATATTACAATACATATTTTTGTATACACGATTGAACATACTACCTTGGATCAAACGTAATATATATAATCATTTTTTTTAAAATTTTGATTCATGTTCAATACCAATTTCAATGTTCAAATATCTTAAACTTGCCTATAACAACATACACAACATTGATATTGCTTCTGATATGATTGCGCTGCTGATGTCCATGAATTAGACATGATATTGTCTGAAAAGTTCTGTTTTACATTTTCAAAAATATATTGAAGTGTATTTTTTGATACAGTTTAGCATTGGGTTATTTGCGGAGCTGAGGCGTGCTTACCTTATGCGGATTTCCATACTGTCAGCAATATTAATTTGTACATGTGCTTCATATCAGCTATGAGTTTTTTTTATTTAAATAGTTAAAAAAACAAATATTACAAATTACAATTGAGCAAATGCAGTCCACATTGTTTTGGAAAGCTAGACAGAATTTTGAATAGAAAATCAAATCATTTGTGCTTTTGCTAATGGATATTGTTTCCAGGATAAGTGCGGTAAAACTCCTGATGAGCAGATTACAAATTAAAAGCTGAATTGTTTGATTTTGTGGACTGGCAGCTCAAAACCTCTATTTTGAATATCTGAAAATGGAGCATTTCTTTGGATAGATTATTGATTCCTCTTATCATAACATATGACATGTATTATTAAGTCGGTTCAATTTGAATTAGATAAAAGTGTTTACAAAATTTCATCAGATTTTGAAAAAATTTGTACATTAATTTGCTATATATGGTCTTATATATACATGTTGCAATTAATATATAACCTTACCAATTATTCTTGAGGGAGGAGGCCTGGAATGTCATGAAGTGATGGCAGATTTTCACGTTTATACTCCACGATCATGCCACTTTGCTCCTTTGCTAGTAGTATGGTAAGATTACCTTTCTGATTGATATCCACCTTCATAACCGAGGGAACCCAGTTCACATTGAGAGCTTTAACGACGGGTTTGGAGCGTCCAAGTTGATGAATGTTCAGCTCAAAGTTTGAGGTGTCTGTATTAACACTTTGGTGGACGACCAAGAGTGTGCAGGTCTTTGGATCAACCAACAGTTGTACAGGCTCACCAGATTTGATGTCGTGTTCACATACAGTTGGAACGCTACTAGGAAATCCCTGCCTCTGGATGATCTGCTTCTCTGCAGTGATGCAGTAGATGCTTGTTCCACAGCTAGCAGCATTCACAGGATGAGGGAAGTCATCCATGCTGAACTTTTGACCAGTCCCGTTGTTCACATTGATTTTCCAGATGCCACATCCATTCTTATCAGGGACACACACTTGGTCTTGATGATTGGCAGTGACCTTCAGAGTCTCATTCACCAAGTCCTTTACCTGAAGTGGTTTCATCACAGTTGATGTCTTTGAAAGGTGTTGGACAGTGGCTAGGCACAATACATTGTTGCAGAGACACAAGATGCACAATTGTCCTGATTTTGTGAAGACAATGTCCAACGGTTTTGCTTTCAGGTTTAAGGTTTTTACCCTCTTACATTGTCCATCATTTGACAACTGCCTTAAGCAAACGCTCTTCTCTTCTCCTCTTGCTTGTCCGCTACTCCCTGATGAACACAGTACGTACCAGTCCCCCAATGGACCACAGGAGAGGGCTAATATGTTTCCCATGGCATTAATGTCAACGTATGTTGTTGCAGGTTTCCAACATGTATTGGACAGCACTAAATCACACAGTTTGGTATCTGTAGATCTGCTACCCTCCTCTTTGAATGACAGACATTTTGCTACGTCAGGCATGATGCTGGAACTCATCTTTTCTTTCATTTCAGCTAGTGACATCTTCAGATGCCCCATTGCTTCAAGGTAGCCTGCTGTGATATCGTACTCATTGTCACGAACCACCATTTCAACAATACTATCAATGGGCTTCTCATTATAGTACATGTTGTTTGTCCTTTCTTCCATTACTTGTCCAATATGTTGTACGAGACGAATCAGTTTGTCTTTTTCTTTCTGAAGGGCAAGGATCTTCTTTGCTGCGGTTTGTTTCACTTCATTTTCGAGACGCTGAATGTTGCAGGCGATTGAATCTACAGCTCGGCTCTGGTCTCTCCCAATCACCTGTGCTGTCAGCTTCTGGTGTTGTTCGATGATTTCCATCAGTGAAGCCTTAAGATTGTCACTTTTGCCTTTGACGCTGACAAAGTGGTGCTTAAAATGATCTCCTTCAGTACATACCCTGCAGATCAGTGTACCCCAACATGTTTCACAGATGAAATATGCTACCTCATTTGTATGTCTTTCACATTTGACTGTGTACTTCTCTTCTGTAGGAGTTGGCTCAGTTGCCTCTTGTCTTGAAGTCTCTTCTTTCTGAGAAAGCGTCATGTTGTCATACTTGTCAATGATAGTCTGAAGGCTGAAATTCCTTTTGAGACCATTCACACCGTCCTCTCCTAGAGCCATCTCTGTGCGGCATTCAGGACATACCAGTAATCTGTGTGGTGCAGGGCTCCTGAGCACTGCTTTTTCCAGGCAATCTTGACAGTAGGTATGCCCACAGTTCAGCAATCTGGCGCCACGCATTATGCCCATGCATATTGGACACTCTGGGAGTAAGTTTGCAAGATTACCTCCTGTGCTATGCTGAGCCATTGTTTTGAGTAGTACTTCTTTTTCCTAGAAAACTATAGAAAGTACCTACATTTGTGTAGATGTTCTCATTACCTCAGTAATACAGTACAGTATGCCAGTTTTAATGTATCGGTACATCATTTACAATTGTATGACTTTCACACAAATACAAAAGCAGAAAGCCTTCAATAGAAACATGCCATATAACACAACATACACATATAGTATGTGTGATGTACATGTGTATATTTGTATGTAGATAATACATGAATATATGTTACCAGTCTGTGATCGTCATTGGGGAATCCCCACTTCATTTTATGAAGAAAGTAGAAAGCCTTAGAAACATGCCGTATAACACAGCATACACATATAGTATGTGTGATGTATATGAGTATATTTGTACGTAGATTATACATGAATATATGGTACCAGTCTGTGATCGTCATTGGGGAATCCCCACTTCATTTTAATAAGAAAGTAGAAAGCCTTAGAATCATGCCATATAACACAGCATACACATATAGTATGTGTGATGTATACATGCATTTGTATGTACATTATACATGAATATATGTTACCAGTCTGTGATGGGGAATCCCCACTTCATTTTATGAAGCAAATGTCAGCAGATATAGAAAAACGAGGGGAGGGGCATGTGTCATGTACACTTTGGCCCCTCCCATGCCTTAGTAGCAAAACCCATCCAAGAATATTGATATTTAATACTTTTTTTATTTGAAGTTTAGTAGCTAAGACTTCTTGCATTGTCTTTATGTACAAACAGATACATCCATTCAGTTATTCCTATAGGGGGAAAAAATTACTTATATCGAAACATTTAACAAAGATGTTAGTCCTTTTAAAAAATGAGAAATTTTCTTTGAAGTAATTTTTGCAATCATTGTGGCAAAAAAGAAGTAAAAATATCTTCATGCACTGTGATTATCTGCTAAGTTTGAATTTTCTTTTGTGTAAAGGATCTACTATTAATAAATGTATTAAAAGTTATTGGCTCTAGATTCTTACATATATATATTCTGTCCATTAGGTGGTATACATGCGCTTCAAGTTAATAGGCTTCAGGATGAAAGTTACTCGACTTTTTTTAACTTACGCAGAGAAAGGAGTGAAAGTAATAGTATCTGGGAAACTTACATCCGTAAACATCACCATTTCTTTAAACTCTTTCAAACGTTAAGTTTAAAGCTTATTTTATTGCTATATGTTTTGGATATGAAAATCTATATTAACCAAAGTTTGAATATGTTTTTTAATTTACAATTTTCTGTACTCAATTGTTTTCACTATTGAATTTTATTTTATTATGTGCTTATGATACATTTTGTTTTCATGTTTTTTAATGGGATCATGTTAACAAAATTACAAGTTGTACCAAACTTGTTATGATCCCACTACATTTACATTAGTCTTTTCTTCTTTGTACATTTGCTTGTACCACATGTTTTGTATATCTTTATAAATGTTTTTGATATGGAGATGTGGAAATAAAATTCAATCAATTCATTTCATTCAGTTCAATTCAATAAATCTGTTGTCACCATGCAATGAAACCTTGGACTGCAGTATTGTTGGAGTATATGATATACGTACTGTGACAAGAGTCGAGTCGCATTCCCCATGTTTGTACCATCGGTAGACCACAGCCGCTGAAGAGTTGCTTGATATTCACTTTTGTTCACTTTTATCTGTCTGTCCAGATTCATGAATACAATCACAATCCATTCGCTTGGGCTTCAATGGGTGGAGAAGACGACATCACAAGTCAGGTGAGCAGTCTTGAACTTGAGCTAAGCGACGGGAATCAACACACCAAGCTGACCCCTGTGAACCTACCCAAAGACATTGACATCTTCATAGATAATGAGGATACTAAGGTTCAGCAACTCCAAGCGGCCGAGGTATCACAGAGTGGAGAGATCAATTACTATTTCAACTTCATATCACAGATGGCATATGTAGTGGTTGAGGTTGTCGTGTACAACCGTTCCTTGTACGAGCCCTTCCCAGAACTATCCCTGTTTCTCACCCGCAATGAAACTGGAACGAACAGTTCTGCAGGAGTGGATGCTACCCACATCTTGAACACCTCATTTCCAGCAGGAGCTGACCCCCCTGTATCGGCATTGAATGACACCCACAATATGACAGGCAACCCTTACCTGTGGATTATTCCATTTAGTGAGATAGGGGTGAATGGTGACCATGGTCTTGTTCTCAGTGGCTGGGGGATGGTTAATAAATCGGATATTGCTTTGTATGCCTATGGAGCTCAGTGTGTTTACTGGAATACAGAGGAGGAGATGTGGGACACCACTGGATGCAAAGTGAGTCTAAATTATGATTTTTTTAAATATTTTTTTTGTCGTATAATCTATGTTTGTTTAACTTAATGGCAGGTTGACAAAACTATTAGAATTGTGAAAATATATATTTTGCATATTTCTTCTTTGTATCAATAAGCCATGTGAATATATACCTATATAAGAACACAAAACAACCTCAAACATGTTTTGATGCCTAGAAAGAAAACATATACTTTTGATCACTGTCCACATATTTTTATGCCTGCAACGAAGTAGCCGGAGGCATTAATGTTTTGGGATTGTCTGTCAGAACGTCCCGTTCTCGTGATCACGTTATCTCAAGAAACGATTGATGGATTCTTGCAAAACTTAGGTCATGTATGTATCGTGCAGAGACAATAGTCTGATTACTCGAGGTCAGGGCTCATTATATATGCAAGAATAGCTCGTGATCACATTATCATTTGAACTGATGGACGGATTCCTGCCAAAATTAGGTCATGTATGTATCTGGCAGAGCCAATGAACTGATTAGATTTGGGGGTAATGAGGTCAAAGGTCATGGGGTTCATTATCTATGCAAAAATACCTTATGACCGCATTATCAGTAGAACCGATGGATGGATTAATTATTATCAAACTCAGGACATGTATGTATATTGGACTGATTTAGATTTTCCGGACATGAGGTCAAAGATTAAAGGGTCATACATGTATATGAAAAAAGGTTTGTGATCACTATATTGCGAGAACATGCTAATGGATTGCATATATTTGCCTCTGTTTTGGTTTTTAGAATCGCTCTATGGCGGAGGCATCATTTTCAACTGCACGCAGTCGAAGATCAATCTAGTCTTTATTGAATAAAGTACTGTATATCATAAGGGTCACCATTATTTTCAGAGATCAAAACAATTTTCCAGTGTTTTTATTTTCTTCTACTTTCCCCCTTTTTCTTTTTCATCCCATTTTACAATATCAATATCCTAATTTATGAACAGTCATATTTGTGTTTTTCACATATTTTAAATGATCAATTTTCTCACTGGAAAGCAAGTTGTAAAGGAAAGCCTTTCATCTCTTTTCCTGCAACGATAGGTTGGACCTCTGACATCCCGCATCCTTGCCCACTGCCAGTGTAACCATCTCTCTCACTTTGCTGCTGGCTTTGTGGTTCTTCCCAACACTGTGCACTTCATCAAAGATGCATCTCTCTTTGCTAAGATACTGGAGAATCCAATCACTGCTATGACAGTGGGATCAGTCTTTGCTCTGTATGTCTTGGTTGCCGTCTGGGCAAACAGACACGACAGAAGAGCTGAGGAACAGGTATGTAACAATATAACACCATAGGCATAGGGTCATTATTCTTTTAAAGGGATGTTAAATCTGAGATACACAGTCCTATATGTTACCAGTGTCTGTGATATGGTGTAATATTGAAGCCCTAAAAAAATGATCAAGAAGTGCCTCAAAAGAGTTAAAATCTTTGAGTGACCGGTTTTACCATACTCGTTTTCCCCAATAGACTGTAGTGTTATGAAAACCGTTTGGCGAACGGTTTTCAAAATTTGTAATTCCAATCACAAATATCTTGATAATCAGACAGGCGATCGGCTTGTAAAAGTCATGGAGTTCCTGACTGACCTAAAGGTTTATAATTATCATTGCAGCATGAGCTAAATCAAGGATTATTTCTAAAGGATCTAAGACAAACTTACCGGATTCCTTTAAGAGGCAATTCGAAGTACACAACTATGTCAATGTACAAAACAAAACTGCCCATCCACACCCTTAAAGGAAAAAAAAATCACAAATGATTTTTCAGAGACCATGTTTTCATTGAATGTTTACTTGCCTATGGTGGATGTTATATCTAGATCAGGGGGTCATGACAAGGCTGCCTGACTAATGTTTTAATATCAGTTGGTCAAGCCCAAAACAATTCTGTGAGCATCATTCCTCTCATTACACTCTCCCATTTGTTTTGTGTATAATTTTTGTGGAGTTCATAACGTTAGGAACCAGAGCACCATAAGACTTAGTTCCCATAGGACATATATTTATTCGGATGGTCATATCTCAGCCAATACTTACATATTCGATTGGTTTTCAACATTCGGACATTATTTTTTATGCTCTTTTGGAAAATGAAGACAAAATTGAGAAATTCTAAAAATAGGTTTTTATGGTGTCTCAGCTTTGTTCCTCTATTTGTCTATATTTTTTCAAGCCTTTCATGTTCACCTTTAAAATTCTAAAAGTCGCCCTTGTCCATTTCTTTGAACAGGCACGGGTGATCTTCTTGGGTGACAACAACCCAGAAGCTCAGTACAATTACCATGTGACCATATTCACCGGTTTGCGCCGTGTGGCAGGTACCACAGCGGTTGCCACCATCACCCTCTATGGGGCTGCTGGTTCCAGTGAACCCCATGTCCTTACTACTGAGGGGAAGCGCAAGATTCTGCAGAGGGGAGGAGTAGATTCCTTTGTGTTGTCTACACATGGTTCCCTGGAAGAACTGACGGCTGTGAGAGTGTGGCATGATAACTCTGGAAAGCAACCCGAATGGTGAGGCTCTAAGTAAACCATGTCCAGGGAATTATCTGAATCAACTTCAAAGTGTTATACAGTGCGTCCCAGAAAAAACGAAACCGAGAAGTATCGATGTTTTATCATAACTTAATCACAACCATAATTAATGAATGATACATATTTGGAAAGCTTAGAGTCTCCTCTTTCAGTTGATGCTACTCACGTGATGCATATTTCACGCATGAGTGAGTAAAAGCAATTTGAAGGAAGGAAACCAAAAAGTAATTTGGCGGGCGGTATCTGAATTTCAAAGAAAAATTCATATTTCTAGAAAATTCATTTTCTGCTCTTTCATATGATACCTCAATCAAGAAAAATAAGCCAGGAATAACAAAGTTCTGTTTGTTTAAAGTAGCACTTACATTTTCATAATTTTAACAAACGAATTCGTTTTCACTGGGTGCCTGCCATAGCAAAAAGCAGATTTGACAAAAGACTTAACTCCGTTTCGTTGACAATCAGCCATTCATGAAGACTCACGTCTACGGCTGATTGTCAGAGATACGGAGTTAAGACTTTTGTTAATTTCATTTATTGATACGGCAGGCAGCCAGTGAAAACGAATTTGTTTAATACAATTATGGAAGTGCAAGCACTACTTTAAACAAACAGAACTTTGGTTCTTATTTCACAGGCACCTGAACCGCATCCTGGTACACGACCTGCAGACCAAACAGCTATGGTACTTCCTCTGTCATACCTGGCTAGCAGTGGATCTAGGAGAGTGCACTGTGGACAAGACCTTCCCAGTGGCCACCACAGAGGACCTACAGCAGTTCCAGCACCTGTTTATCACTGGACTCCTACGTGACATGAAAGACCACCACCTGTGGGTGTCCATCTTCACCAGGCCACCCAACAGCAACTTCACTCGTCTGCAACGTATCACCTGCTGCTTCACTCTTCTCATGATGTCCATGTTGGCAAGTATTATGTTCTTTGGAATCACTCCCGAGGATGTGGACGTGGGCGACTCCAAAGGTC